TAACAAATTGCTTTTCTCTTGCTGCCTTTAAGATTCTGTCTTTAATTTTTGACATTTTAATTATGATGTGTTTGGGCATGGGTCTGTTTGGGTTCTTCTTGCTTGGGACTCTCTATGCCTCCTGAACTTGTGTGACTTTTTCCTTTACCAGGTTAGGTAAGTTTTCTGTCATTGTTTCTTCAACCACATTCTCTATCCTTTTCTCCCATTCTGCCTCTTCTGTCATTTAAATATTATGTTTCATGTTGTCCCACAGCTCCCTTAAGCTGTCCTCCTATTTTTTAAATTGTTTTTTCCTTTTTGGTTCTGATTGAGTGATATTTTTCAACCCTGTCCTCTAATTCACTGATTTGATCCTCAGCTTCCCCTAATCTGTGTATTCCTTCCAATGTGTTATTTGTGCTGTCATTCTTTATTTCTGTTTTCATAGTTACTGTATCTTTTCTCATGCTGTTTAGCATCTTTACTATCATTATTCTGAATACCATATCAGATAAATATCTTATCTCCACTTCATTTCTCTCTTCTTCTGGAGAATTCTCTTATTCTTTCATTTGGGGGTTGTCTCCTCCAGTGCCAGGAAGAGAAGTCTCCATAACTTCCAGCTGTGAAAACAAGTGGGGATTGTGACTGAGTGATATGGAGGCTGCTGGAGTCCCAGGCAGTTCTCTTAAAGGGCCCACGTGTGGACTTACTCGGACTCCCTCCCTCTAGCTCCAGCGCTGGGGCAGCAACTTGAAAGGCACAAGAGACATATGAGGAGGAACTGCATTGTCCAACATCACAGTGAGGGCTGGGGTGGGGTGGGGTGGTGCACAGCTTTCTACCAGACAGAGTGTTGGCAGAGTCCACTGGTCCTTTTCCAAGCCCTCCCCATACAGAGCCTGTCTTGGCACATGCTTCAGATTTCCCTAAAATCTCTCAAACAGGCAGCATCTAGCCTCAGCATGCCCCACACCTCTCGCTAAAAGGCCCCAGGCCCAGCACTGGCAGTGGCCAGCCTTGGTTTGCAGCTTGGCCTCACCTGGGCACTTCTAAGCCCAGCACACGCAGCAGCCATCTGCATATAACTTTGTAAGTTATGCACGGTGGCCCTGGCAGAACAAAAGTGGCGGTTGACCTTGGCCTGCACCTCCCAGGATACCCCAGAGCCAGTGCACCTGGGCAGCTTCTGACCACATCAAACATTGATGTGCGAATATCAAGGCTCAACTATAACAGGAGGGTATACACAGCCCACATAGGGAGTGCATCTTGATGCCCAACTTGGGTGACCAGGAAGGCTGTGCCACTGGACCCTACAGATCACCTACTACATTAAGCCACTCTACCAAGTCTGAGAGACATAGCAGCTCTACGTAACACATAGAAAAAAACACAGGGAGGCTGCCAAAATGAGGAGACAAAGCAGCATGTCCCAAATGAAAGAACAGCAAAACTCCAGAAAAAGAACAAAATGGAAACAAGCAATCTGCCAGATGCAGAGTTCAAAACACTGGTTATAAGGATGCTCAATGAAATTAGGGGAAGCGTAGAGGAACTTAGAACTTCAACAAAGAGATGAGAAACATAAAAACAGAACTAAAAAACATAAAAAAGAACCAGTCAGAAATGAAGAATACATGTATTGAAATGAAGAATACATTACAGGGAATCAATAGATTAGATGAAGCCAAGAATCAAATCAGTGATTTTGAATATATGGAAACAGGAATCACCCAATCAGCACAGCAAAAAGAAAAAAAGAATTAAAAAAATGATAGTGTAAGGAGCCTCTGGGACAACTTTAAGTGTACCAACATTCACATTACGGGGGTACCAGAAGGAGAAGAGAGCAAGGAATGGAAACCCTATGTGAAAAAATGAAAGAAAACTTCCCTAACCTGGTGGGGGAAATAGACATACAAGTCCAGGAAGCTCAGAGAGTCCTGGACAAGATGAACCCAAATAGGTCCACACCAACACATCATAATTAAAATGCCAAAAGGTTAAAGACAAAAGTTAAAGCTGCAAGTAAAAGCAGTTACTTACAAGAGAGTGCCCATGGCTGTCAGCTGATTTCTCAACAGAAACTTTGCAGGTCAGAAGGGAGTGGCAAGAAATGTTCGAAGTGATCAAAAGCAAGGACCTACAACCAAGATTATTCTACCCAGCAAAGCTATTGTTTAGAATTGAAGGTTAGATAGAGAGCTTCATAGACAAGGTAAAGCTAAAGGATTTAACTGCCACCAAACCAGTATTATATGAAATGTTAAAGGGTCTTCTTTAAGAAGGGGAAAAACGATAAAAACTAAGAACAAGAAAGTGGCAATAAATACATATTCCTCAACAATTGAATCTAAAAATCAAACGAACAAGCAGAACAGAGAACATTTTGAGGGTTGCCAGATGGGAGGGGTGTTGGGGGGCTGGGTGAAAAATGTGAAAGGATTAAGATATACAAATTGGTTGTTATAGTATAGTCATGTGGAAAGAACAGAGCAAAACTCTGTTAAATTACAGCATTGGAAATACAATCAATATTTTAATAACTATCTATGGTGTCAGATGGGTGCATGATTCATTGGGATGATCACTTAGTAAGCTATGTAATGGCCAATCACTAGGATGTACACCTGGAACTAATAATGTATGCCAACAGTAATTTAAAAATATAACATGATTTTTCAAAAGTATATTTCTTCTTTTCCAAATATACAGTCAACCTAGTAAATAGTCACAAGTCCTTCTGAGGAAGTTTAGAAGGGGGACTCAGCTTCCCTTTTATTTAGAGCAGCGGTTCTCAACCTGTGGGTCCCGACCCCTTTGGGGGTCGAACGACCCTTTCACAGGGGTCGCCTAAGACCATCGGAAAACACATATTATATATACATATTATATAATTATATTACATATTGTTTTTGTGATTAATCACTATGCTTTATGTTCAATTTGTAACAATGAAATTGGGGGTCACCACAACATGAGGAACTGGATTAAAGGGTCGCGGCATCAGGAAGGTTGAGAACCACTGATTTAGAGGCTGTGTCAGTGAATTGGCTCAAGCCTCAAAACTTTGGAGTTGTTTAACAGACTGGCTCAAGTCAGAATTCTGCTCACCAGATCCAGAGCTTTTCTATGCACACACATCTAGTAAAACACCAGAAAACTGCCATCTATTCAGTTCCAGTCAATTAGCTAAGGACAAAGGTGTCTACAGATAAGGGCCCCTCTTCAGAACTCCCAGAAGCCTTCTTCTCTTTGTATGTTAATTGCACGCTCATAATTTTAATTCTTATGTATGCATTTGAGGGCCTATTGTTGCTAATTGCCACAGCCTCTCCCTGGATTTCTCCATGACTTGCTTTTCCGTTACCTGCAGTTTATCCCACGGTACCACTAGCAGAAATTGCAATTACGATACTGTACTGTATACCATGGGTTACTCATATCCCATATTCCCTGCCTCCCCTTCACCAATCCCCATAGGCTATCATTGATCTCATCAAATATTACCCAATCCCAGAATCTTAGTCTAAGAATCTATTTCCTGAGGTCACTTCTGGTCTCAATTACTGTCCGAGTCCCAACACAAAACAGAGGGCACACTTGTAAAAGGAGGGAATCTGAGGGGAGTTTATTTCCATATGCCCTATTTACAAAGGGAGATGTGTAGGAAAACCCAAGTGAGCGGAGGGGGAAAAAGATCCCAAGGCAAAGAAATCCCCAGTACAGTCTGTAATTAGATTAAGTCTTGCACAGAGTGTGGCAAAAGTAGGTTTACAGTTGTTCATATGGAAATACAGTAATTAATATATAATACAAAAATAAACTGTTTTTGCACCCTGGCCCATTTGGTTGGGTGTCATCCCATGCACTGAAAAGTTGCTGGTTCAATTCCTAGTCAAGGCACAAACCCAGGTTGGGGCCTACCCCCCTTTCTCTCTAAAAAAAAAAATGCTTGCCCCAGCCAGTTTGGCTCAGTGGATAGAGGGTTGGCCTGCGGACTGAGGGTCTCAGGTTCAATTCTGTTCAAGTGCACATGCCCAGGTTGTGGGCTCATCCCCAGTGGGGGACTTTCAGGAGGCAGCCGCAATGATTCTCATCATTGGTGTTTTTCTCTCCCCCTCTCTGAAATCAATTAAAAATATATTTAGCCCTAACCGGTTTGGCTCAGTGGATAGAGCATTGGCCTGCGGACTCAAGGGTCCCAGGTTCGATTCCGGTCAAGGGCATGTACCTTGGTTGCGGGCACATCCCCAGTGGGGAGTGTGCAGAAGGCAGCTGATCAATGTTTCTCTCTCATCGATGTTTCTCTCTATTCCTCTCCCTTCCTCTCTGTAAAAAATCAATAAACTATATTTAAAAAAATATATATATTTAAAAAAATAAAAGTTTTGCCCTAGCCGGTTTGGCTCGGTGGATATAGTGTCTGCCTGTGGACTGAAGGGTCCCAGGTTCGATTCCGGTCAGGGGCACATGCCTGGGTTGTGGGCTCGATCCCCAGTAGGGGGTGTGTGGGAGGCAGCCGACCCATGATTCTCTCTCATCATTGATGTTTCTGTCTATCTCTCCCTCTCCCTTCCTCTCTGAAATAAAAAATATATTTAAAAATTTTTAAAAGAAGTTTTGCCCCACGAAACTATTTCTTTGGGGGCGGGGGTGTCATATTTAGTTTTGTCTGAATTTCTCATTTAGGTCTTTTCTTCCCTCAGTGTTTTGTAGTTCTTAGCACACAAATGACACTCGTCACTAGTAAGTTTTGTGGGCATGTTTGTCTTACTGAAACACCTGGTAAGTTCTGGGAAGTGATGACACCTTGTAGACCAACATCTTTTCTTTCCAAATGATTCTTGGTTCGGTTCAGGCTATAAAAATTGACCAAATGTGGATGCTGTACAGTGTCTAACTGGGCTGGATGAAGGCATCAGATTTTATTCAACGGGCTCCGCACTGCCTCAGCTCAGTAGGAATCACTGTAGCGCACAGCCTCCTGCTGAAGAACGCACCACACACACAGCTGGAGTTCCAGTGGGCTTTATTGAGATACATTAACAAAAGCCAAGATTTTATCAACCATCTTTTCTGAACTTTATAACCTCAGCAGACTCTGGTCCACATGTGCACCTACAACATAACACCCCCCAACAAAAAGGAAGCCCCACTGGAACATTTGCCAATTAACAGAAAGCCAATTGTCCCTTCCCCCAAATGTTTGCAAAATTTTGAGTCCCCACTGTTCATTTCTCAGTGGAACTGGTCCCTTGTGGCTAGGGACAATGAAATTAGACCCCATTTTCATTGAACAAAAATTTTCAGGTTTTAGTTTTGTTTCAAAAAGGGAATAGTGACTTTGTTTCCTCCAGGCACCCCTCCCCACAACCACTGGTTAAAACACAGTAGCCTGTATCTTCATAACCCAACCCTCCCCTCCCCTGCCCAGCATTGTCTACAGAGAATTTAAATACACTTCCTGTTGGAACCTGTCAGCTGTGGAGGGGCAGAGTCCATGCCAGGCTGGCTCCCTCTGACCTCATGAACTGCTATAGCCTTTGGACCCTTAACTCTTTACCCCAAAGATGAGTTTTTAGGTCAGGAGTAGACTTTCTTTGGGAGCTTTAAAAACGATCTTTAAGGATATACAGTAGAACCACAAGCTCACTCAAGTTCACTTAAGTTCACCAAAAAGTTGACTAACATCAACTCCCACTAGGCCTATAATTTTGTTTGACAAAGATATTTTGCCAGAAAATGATTTCACAATAACAATTTTTAAGATACATACAACGCTGAACAAAGTGGCAAATTAAAATAACATGGCTTAATTCCCAAGAATTTACTTCATCTTTGTGTTACTCATCCATAAGGTCAGAGTGTGGCTAAAGGCAACTTCTGACGAGGCTATGAGCTTCAAAGTGTTTCTAAATCCTCAGTGCAGACACCCTCCCTTTGGGCAGTCACCTCCCTCCCACCCCTATAAAAAAAAAGAAAAAAAATTAAGCCAAGTGATCAGAATGAGATGTTTGATTCCAACAGTTTACACTCCAGGCTTTGTGCTGAGTCGTCTGGTTCTGACCCAAGCATGATGGTATCAAACACAAAGCACACGGCAGAGGAAAGATGCTCCCATCTCATTCTGAAAACAAATACTGATAACCGCCCGCCCCCACCCCCCGCCTTTGGGGCCCCCTGTATTATGGTGCGGGGCAAACTGGACAATTTAGAGACATATTTAGATTTCTCTCTCCTTTACTTCTTCCCATGGAAGATAATTTTGGAATTTAGTCCAATCCTAAAGGAAAGGCAAAACAGGCCCAGAGGCAGCAAGGTGTGCAAGGGTCCATAACCATCACACAACCACATAACCACAGGCTGAACAATGGGCTGACGTTATTTAAGTATTAAAAAGAGGGAATAGTTTTCATCCAAATGAACCACTGGAAAAAATATCACCATGACTTAAAATAAACACCCTATACCGGAAGAACACGAAAACAACTTCCAATAGTAACAAATGCTCCTTATTGCGAAGGGGATTTAAAAAGAAAAAGAGACTAGGCTTTGACCTAGTCTTAGAGCAGCAGTCGCCAACCTTTCGGACCTCATGGACCACTGGTTGGTGACCGCTGCCTTAGAGCATCTTTCCGTTTTACAATTCCTATTCAAGAGTCAAGCACCAAAACTGGACAGCTGCCCGCACAAGGCCGTGTCCAATCCCGGTGTCCCAGACAGTTTAAGTGCCACTCCTCATCCGAGGCTGTACTTCAGGAATACTTTCAATTTAACGTCTGTGCTTTAAGAGGGACCCACAGGCACGTGGCACCAAGCAGACAGTCTGAGGATGGCAGAGAGGACTGTGCTGTTTATAGTCACCCGCACTCTAGCGAGATATAAAACTGCATTTATGAGCTTTCTTGCTTTTCTTCTAGAATGATCCCTCTTATCTTGCCAGAGATGGGGAGGAAAGAGAGGGCTGCATCAGTACACAGTAAGATATATATATATTTATATATATATATATTTTTTGGTCAAAAGTTGATGCCTTTTAAATTCCCTCCCTCCACCCCTCCCTGGAAAAAAAGTTACTCCCTTAACTAGGGCTTGTACTTAGTTGCCAACAATGGCTGGTAGAAGAACCTATGTGGCATGGATACCAAATAAATGAGCTTATTTTGGGGGGTTTGTACTGTGCAGCTCTTGCTAGTTTCTAAGGAGTTAGGGCTATGTCTGATCAGGAGGCATCTGCAGGATTTTGATCTTCAGGGAATTCTGGGTGAGTCACAAATCATTTTTGTTTAGAACTAGACAGAGTCAAAAAAGAAACTTTGAGTAACTGATTTCTTTATCCAGATGAGTTAAGCATGAAAACATAGGCAGGACTTGTACTATTTTAGGGCTTTGAAAAACAATGGAATATGGAAATCAAATAAAAAAATTTTTATTTTGCCTTTTTTTTTTAAACCCTAGATGCCTCCTGATTGACCTAGTACACTGGGTTAAAAGGGAATTAAAAACGTTTTTTAAAAAAAGTTCACTGGTTTTGATTCATCTCACTCCTTTTGCCTGGAGATCAGGCCAAACATCAAGCATGTTGGGAGGGGCACAATTTAATGCAACACTATTGACTGTAAAGCATTTGCCAGCAATTTACAATGCAAACATGACAATTCTCGTCACAAAGCTAAAGCATGGCAAGCAGCAGCTCTCAGGGTTGCCCGTTCCTGCAAGTTTACGTATCAAAGTGGGCAGAAGGCAACACACTTACACAGTACAGGAAGTGACCCACAAAAACGAAGCCCCAGAACTGCTAGCCTTACCGAAGCTGGTACTGGCTAATATTGTGAAACGCAAACTCACGCTTTATACATATACTGCTCAATACTGCCACTCAAGGGAGTTTCCACACTGCAATGTAATTAATCTTTGTCCCCTTTTGCAGAGCTTAAAAAGTTTCTCAAACTTTAAAAAAGGGGAAAAAAGCACAATCAGAGAGAGCCTTTCAAAAATAACACCAGGAATGACAGGTTTTTGAAGTTTCCTTGCTCCCTCTGGCAGGCCTCCCTCCTCTAAAGACACTAGAGACAGTGTGGCAGCAAACAGTGAAGACTTCTGGGGCCCTTTCCCAGCACAGGGTCCCCACAGGAGTCTGCTTGCTACAGTAAGAGGTTAAAGTACTTTCTAGAATTTAGTGTTGCGGAAAACTGAGCCCCTCTCATCTTAGCTGCTCCCATTATTCACTCTAAATCCCCCTTTATCCCAGCAACCTTTCATCAAAAACAAAACAAAAATATATATATATATATGTATATGTATGTGTATATATATATATATATATATATATATATATATATATATATGAACGCAGAAAAAAACATATTTACAAAGTTTATACAAGTGTACACACCCAGTTTTCTATGGGACACGCTTTGCCAGAGGAAAGAGGGTCAAGGCTGACAGGCTACACCTCAAGTGCCATAGCTGCGAATGGAGACACGTGAACCAGTCTTTAGTGTTCCGTACAGAGCACAAAGGCTTGTCGTATGGCTCCTGCAATGACAGAGACGCTCTTTCCTTTGGGAGCAATGATGTTGCATCGACTCAGCCCAGAAGAAATTTTTACTTGGGATTGTGTGGTTGTTTCTTAAATACATGTATTTACAGTGCGGATGAACTGCAGTTGCATATCAACTCCTCCACTTAAAGAAAAAAAATGGTGTTTAACATTACTAATAGGTTTCATCTTTCAGCCCTGGGCTTGAGTACTGGGTAGAAAGGGGAGAGACTTCAACGTGAAACCAAAATGAAATAAAAAGTTTTAAAAAGAAATAAAAGGAAAGAATTACTATTGTTGATTCCTTGGGCTGTGTCTAAAAGATGATATTCTGAATGGTCTCATAGCATAAGGCACTTCGCACAAATAAGTAATAAGCTCTTCAGGCTTAAAAAACGGATGAGTCATCAGGGAGAAGTTGAAATGCACAAGAGTCAGCTGTTGCAGAATTCGGAAATAATAGACAAGCTTGTGTGTTCATCAAGATTCTTCTCTTTTTAGGGTTTCTCCCTTCTCTTCTTTCTCCTCCTTCCTTGTCCCCCTTTTCCCCAGAAAACATTTTTAAAAATCCAGCAGTTAGTGCAACTAATGTTCAGTCAGCACACAGTGCAAACAAGTGGAACAAAAAAGGTAAATTCCTTCTTTTCAGCTTTTTTCTCTTCACCAGTTAAAAAAGAAAAAAATGTCTGAGTTCTTTTAAATCTTCATAGTTCCAAAATAAAAGATGAAAAACCCACAAGAGAAGAGCATCCCCCCCAAAATGATGTGTCACAGATCCAAGCAAGCCTTCTTTAGTTTGTCAAAGCCTAAAGAAAGAAGAAACCTAAAATTAACATTTGTGAAAGCAGTATGAACTAGGGTATACAGGTTTTTACATCCCCATCCCAAATACCCTCTCTGTAACAGCGTCTACTCAACTCTTGCCTACTGTAGAGTCCATGCAGGATTAAGGAATGTCTGCCAGGCATTCTAGAGGCAGAATGAGAGTCTGATAATTTTGGCCTCAGCCAGCAGTCATTCATAGTACTTAAAGGAACTACCTTACACAAATGTAATAAATAGCTTGCCAATATACTAACAAACATTGGCTAGTTTTATGTTTAAGAATTGTTTGACATTTAAAATTTTTTAAAAATGAAAGTAATTTGAAAAATTTAAAAACAACAGGTAAAATGTTCACTGCTAATTTGGAACTCATCATCTCTCAAGTTAAATCATATTCTCCTCAGAAAAATTCCACAAGTCTACTTTCCTTTATGTTGAGCCTTGTTTTGGGCATTTCTACCGGAGCCCAATCGTCACCACAAGATTAAATGAGAGGGTGCAGAAAACCAGAGTGGGCATTTAAAATGAGATAATTGCCCGTGGGTGTGACTCAGTGGTTGAATGTCAAACTAGGAACCAAGAGGTCATGGTTAAATTCCTGGTCAGGGCACATGCCCAGGTTGCGGGCTTGATCCCCAGTAGGGGTGCGTGCAGGAGGCAGCCAATCGATGATGTTTCTCTCTCGTTGAAGTTTCTATCTCTCTACCCCTCCTCTTCCTTCCCCTCTTTCCAAAATCAATAAAACAGATTTTAAAATATATAAAATTTTAAAAAGACATAGTTATCCTCATTACACATTTGGCAATAAGGTACTGTAGGTAGGTAATGTAACCTGACTTACTGAGGCACCCATTTGAAATGAAGAGTGAATTCCAACAGAGATGACTGAATGATAAAGGAAAAGAGAACAGAAAATATTTTCACACTCAAAATTGCTGAAAAATATTCTCTTTGCTTTCATTATTTTTGAAGTCTGAATCTGTCTTGATACTGCTCACGGTATCACACTACTTAAAAAGACTGCATTCAAGAACAACACTTATGGATTTTCTAACGAGACAGACCACAACTTCACCCAAGAGATAGCTGTTTTACTGTCATTTATGCCAAGTGTTTCACCACCCTACATTGCTGTTACGTACGCTAGGACATCAAATTGTCCCCACGAAAGAGGATCTTGATTTCTTTCCTCCCTTTAAATATTATGCTCACTTAGCTATTCTGTAGGTACGCACATGCTTGTTATGGTTTATCATCTTCTACAGGCTCGCTGTGGTATTCGGCCACATATAGGCTCTTGTCAATGTTGCTTGGGATAGGTTTAATTTCTGTTCCCAGCTGCTCCTCAATACTTTTCAGGTTGAAGCGATCATCATATGTGATCAAGTTGATAGCTAAGCCAAGATGACCAAAGCGACCTAACAAAAAAAAATTATTTTAATTAAGAAATGAGTTAAATATTAGAATGCATGTGTAAGACTAAGCATCAAAATCATAAGGAGTTAATGTTTTTGTCCAGTGCCACTCTGGGTATAGGAAACTACTTCTCTACTCTCCTCATATTCACATTACTTCCCAAAAGTAGCACTCTATTTTACCTTTTTCAAAGGACAAACAAGATATTTGTGTCAAAAGTTGCCAAAATACACATACTAAACAGTAGTTACAGATTGTACCAGAAAAGAAAAGTGAAGTTCTCCTTTGTTAATTTTACCTTAAATTATGCATATAGTAGTTAACTTTTTAAACTTTTCTTAGTAAGTGTTCTAGAAGAACTAGAAATTAGTCTTAAACACTGAACAACTATATTAGTTTTAATTCTGCTCTCATTGCTACAACACTATTTCACACAAAACCCCACACAATTTAGTGATTAAACTTCTCAAAAAACAAAACAACAAAAACGTCCACAAAGAGCATCTCCTGTCTTTCCTCACCCGATCTTCCAATGCGATGGAGATAGGTCTCTGCCAGCTTTGGGAAGTCAAAGTTTATTACCACATTCACAGCTTGTATATCAATACCTCGGGTAAACAAATCTTAAAAAACAATAACAAAAAACCTCCATTATAACTTTCAATATTTAAGCAATTTTAAGCATTTAAACATGTGTCTTGGTACTGTAATACTATTTAACAAATATTTCTTGTATACCTTAAATGTATTCATTTCACTTAGTAATTCAAATGCATTTTCAAATTACTAGCATTACCTTTCATGCATATTATCACAAATAACTTTCTGGTCACAAGTTATCTTTGCCCAGTTCTACAAGAAAATTTTAGAAAATCGTCTAAGGTAATTGCAAATACAGGAAGAGACCAAGATAATTGGTAAACTCATAAAACAAATATCAGGAATAACCAGTAATTTTATTTTCTTTAGCCTGTTTTTTGCTGAATTATTTATAATGTCTGAGGTAAGCTAATCCCAATGACTATGCTAATTTAGGCTCTGAAAACTATAAAGAGAAACAACAGGCTAATAACTAGGTTTGCCTTCTTCTACCGGCTCCGCACTCCAACATAATAATCCATGATGGTCATAATAATATTTCAAAAATATTACTTTGAATCTGTAACTCCTTGCTTTAAATGACATTCAAGGTCCTCCTCTCTATGTTTTGGTCTTAACATACTTTTCTAACACATCTCAAAACTTCCTCTCTACCAAACTCATCCACTTACCCTTCCTTGAACATATCTCTCAGCCTCTATACTTTTGACACCAGTCCCCTAACTTAAACTTATCTAGCTTATAAAGCCCATTAAAATTCCATCTATTCTCACATAACCTCAGCTAGTTACTTCCCTCTCCTATGAAAATTTAGGATTACTTGCTACAGTTGACCCTTGAACAACATGAGGGTCAGGGGCACCTACCCCCGCAGTCGAAAATGTGTAACGACTCCCCCTAAATTTAACTATTAACATAAGCCTTCTATACCGGAAGCCTTACCAATAACATAGTCGACTAACACATATTTTATGCTATACTAGAGCCCTGGCTGCCATGGCCCTCATGGCCCGGGCTGCCTCGTGGCACCGCCCCCCCCCCGTCACTGGTCGTTCAGAAGGTCGGTCCGCCATCCGGTCTAATTAGCATATTAGCTTTTTATTATATAGAATCTTTTATATATCGTGTTCTTAAAATAAAGAATTTTTCTTATTATCTTAAGAACATTTTCTTTAGCTTTAAAGAAAATTTCAATAACACATTTACTGTATTTACTGAAAAATAACCCATGTATAAGTGGATCCATGCAGTTCAAATCCATGCTGTTTGACCACTTTCTAAATTCACATTTGCAAATTACCTTTAGTCCCTTATAGATCTAGTCCAAGGCCTATCTTTGTAAATAAAGGTGTTTTTTGTTTTGTTAATCCTCACCCAAAGATATTTTTCCATTGACTTTTTTAGATAAGAGTAGAAGAGAGGGGGAGACGGCGGGGGGGGGGGGGGGGGGAGAAGGGGAGGGAGGGAGAGAGAGAGAGAGAGAGAGAGAGAGAGAGAGAGAGAAACACTGATGTGTATGAGAAAGAGAGAAAGAGAAAGAAAAGAAGGAAAAACATTGATGTGAGAGAGACATATTGATTGGTTGCCTCCTGATGGGCTGGGGGTTGAACCTGCAACCCAGGCACATATCCCTGACTGGGAATCAAACCTGTGACCCTTTGGTGCACAAGCCAAGCCTCTAACCACTGAACCCACCGGCCAGGGCTGTAAGTCTTACTGCCACGTGGCCATGCCCATTTGTTTATATACTAAGGGTGCTTCTGAGTTAGAATGGCAGAGCTGAATATCTTGTAACAAGACAACAAGGTGTGCAAAGTCTAAAATATTTACTAGCCACCACTTTACAGATAAAGTGTGCAGGCCCTGCTTTAGACTTTTGTTGTTGTTAATCCTTACTCAAGGATATTTTTTCTGTTAATTTTTTAAAAAAAATATTTTTATTGATTTGAGAGAGAAAGGGAGAGGGATAGAAACATCAATGATGAGAGAGAATCATTGATTAGCTGCCTCCTGCACGACCCCTACTGGGGTTGAGCCCGCAACCTGGGCATGTGCCCTTGACCGGAATTGAACCCGGGACCCTCCAGTCCATAGGCCGAAGCTCTCTCCACTGAGCCAAACCAGCTAGGGCTCCATTAATTTTTCTTAGAGAGAGTGGAAGGGAGGAGGAAAGACAGAGAGATAGAAACATCAATGTGAGAGACACACTGACTGACTGCCTCCTGCACACACCCCAACAAGAACTGAATCTGCGACCCTTCGGTCCTCAGGCTGGAGCTCTAACCACTGAGCAACTGGCTAGGGCTAGACTCTTAATGTTATTCACCTTTTAATCATTCATTAAACCATTGCTCCTTGAAGAAAGGGGTGGTACTTTGCAGGTATTTGTATGTTTATACATGTTTTTCAGTATTAATGACATCACTGTTCTGAAAAATCAGAAAGAAGGCACTGGTACTTCAAAAACCTGAGGGCAACTTTGCAAGTAATGATTAAATATAAAACCCATTGCCCTGGCTGACTTTGGTCAGTGGTTAGAGCAGGGGTGGGCAAATTTTTTGACTCGAGGGCCACAATGGGTTCTTAAACTGGACCGGAGGGCCGGAACAAAAGCATGGATGGAGTGTTTGTGTGAACTAATATAAATTCAAAGTAAACATCATTACATAAAAGGGTACGGTCTTTTTTTTTTTTTAGTTTTATTCATTTCAAACGGGCCGGATCCGGCCCGCGGGCCGTAGTTTGCCCACGGCTGGGTTAGAGCATCATCAAAGGATCTCGGGTTTGATTCCCAGTCAACGGCACATGTGGGAGGCAGTCAATCGATGTGCCCCCTCTCTTTCCCTCCTTCCCTCCCTCTATAGAAATCAATGAAAAAAATATTTTCGGTGAGTATTTTTTAAAAAAGCATTAATCACAATAATTTATATCAGTATATAAGTACAAAGAACATTTGGGGGGGGATTTCTCCCCCTGGCTGGGTAGCTCAGTTGGCTAGAGTGATGTCCCAATACACATGCAAGAAGCAACCAATGAATGCGTAAGTGGAGTAACAAATCAATGCCCCCCTAAAATCAGTAAGTAAAATTAAGAAAAAAAATTCTCATTCAAACAGGGAAATGCTTAATAGCAAATGACAAATGTGAACATAAATGTATCATTCACAGCTATATTAAACTGTTCTTCAGATGTAAGGCAGAGAAACAAGATAAACTGGAAGATTTTGACAGTCCTTTTTATTCATGTAAATTAAATACTCTGCTAAAAAATTTCAAAGTTTATTTCTACAGTAGCATTTTTAAAAACATAAATCTTGAAATATTCTAAATCTTGATTTGAATGCACATGTAAATATTCAAATAATATACATATTATTTGTCTATGTGTTTACCTCAATAATTTTAAAAAATTCTAGGCTTTCTCTCTACCCAGAAGACTATTAATCTTATACCAGTATTAAGATTATATTCCTAACGTAAAGATGGGAGGAGCTTTAGCCAGTTTGGCTCAGTGGATAAAGTGTCAGCCTGCGAACAGAAGGTCCTGGGTTTGATTCCTGTCAAGGGCACATGCCTGGGTTGCAGGCTCCATCCCCAGTGGGGCGCGTTCAGGAGGCAGCTGATCCATGATTCTCTCTTATCATTGATGTTTCTATCTCTCCCTCTCTCTTTGAAATCAATAAAAATATATTTAAAAAATGAACGAACAAAAAAAACGGGAGGATACTGAATCCATTTGCTTTGTCTAGTTGATTGCCTGCCTGCCTCCCCAGTGTTTTTCTTCATGCAGTGAAAATATAACAAAATTCAGAATAGTCTGCTTCTGGCAAAAAATCAAAAGGCCACAATAAGCAATTTCTAAACCACAGATGGTTTCACAATATAATTCATTTTGTGTATGCTAAAACTATTCAGAAAACACACAAATTCTAAAATTAGTTTAGAAGGTAGGTAGGACATGAGTGCCAAAATCAGTCTTCCACAGCTTCAGATATGGAACCTGATTTCAGGAGTTAACCACAGCTCATTCTCTACTTCAGAAGTTCTAGAAGTGGTACTAGGGTGAGCTAGGCTATGTCACAGGCTCCTGTTGCGTAACATAGAACAAAACAGCAGAACAGAAATAGGAAAAAAGCAATGGATAAAGAGAATAAAAAGTACTTACCAGTGCAAACAAGATTGCGGCATAAGCCATTTCGGAAATCATGAAAGACACGATTTCGATGTTCCTAGGAAGAGAGCAATGCATTTGATTTCACCAAAACTCATGCACACAGCCCCAAATCCCCACTATTTCTCCTGCACAAAATTTGTTTACACAAATGAGAGGTGAACCAATTCAATATACATATATTTATAATGTTAAAAAAACACCATAAATTGGTTTCCCATAGGAATTAATAAGCAACTAATACATCTCTATATGTTGTATTTTAAGTCAAAGATATTTATATTTTTTGCTGAAGTGGATTTCAAGTAACAATTTTCACCATGTTTTTGTATATATATACCCTTTAAAAATGTTTCCAACAGACGATTCCAAGTTTGGCTTGACCAAACATCTACTGTTTTACCCTTTTAGTAATTATATACAAAAGCTAAAATAACTACTTTCCAATTAAAAAACAAAAATGGAGTATACACAATGATTCTAGGAAGTGATAAATCTAGCATCTGGCAAACTGGCTTATCTTTTGAGCACAAAATTCTTCCATTTTAAAATATTCTCATCAGTTTAATACATTCATTTCCTGTGATAATTTCTAACTGCGAGGCGCCTACATGGTGGTGGTATCTGATCCATGACATTAAGCTTCTTTGAAAACCAAATGTGAGTTAAGTAATTTAAGTTCTTAACCTTGACAAGTCTACAGAAACTGCTTTTCATGAAATTTCATTAGGCACACACACAAAAAAATGTCATTATAGCTTTTAATTTATTATGTGCTAAATAAAAAGTTCAGAAATGTAGAGATTCCATCATTTTCTTAAGCAAATAGTAAAAAAAAAAAGAGTACTTGGGTTGAGGAGGTTCATAGATACATTAAACATGTAAAATCCACAGCAATAATGGAAATGTTGTGTCTGTACTGTCCAAAACCATAGGTGATTGTGACACGTAATGAGGCACTTGAATGTGGTTAATGTGACTGAAACATTTAAATTTGATTTGATTTTAACTCATTTAAATTGCCACATGTGGCTAGAGGCTATTGTATTAAATAGTGCAAAACTAGAGATAACCTGGGGAAAGAAAGGAATAAAGTCTGACATTTGTATCACGCTTGACCATTGACAGATATTCGTACATTATCTCAATCCTCCTTATGAGATGAGTATGCATTATTACCCCTATTTCATAGTAGAAAACTGGGCCTTCAGGAGGATAAAATGAAGAGTCCTTCATCTACTAAGGAATCATTTCTTCTTAAACTCAGGACATTTGGAGGAGCATTAAAACAAAATCCAAGAAATACTTAGAAAAAGATGTTTTAAAAATCTGTGCAAGTTCTAGTTTGATACTCACCTGCCTCATTTTAGCATGGATATAGAAGCAAGAATAACCCAGTTGAGAAATCTTCTTGGCTAGCAATTCAACTCGCTGAGAGGAGTTACAGAAAATGATCGACTGGTTTATCTGAAGCTGAGCACAGGGGATGAGGGGAGAGACATGAGTGGGAAAACACCTTTACTTACTTTGCACACCTTGAAAATATTGACTGGCAAACAAATGTTAAAACCATGGTCTATGACAGAGAGTCTTATGACACAAAAGATGCAAAACTTTAAAAATTGTAAATACCATTCATTTACTTAATATTTGCAGATACTTTATAAGTTTTATGGTAGTACAGTATATTTCATAAGGGCACACAATTGCCAGCAAGAATAAAACAAAACAGTTGCTGCAAATACTGAATTAGTGAATGAAGAACCATTGCTCCTAGGATAAATACAGGGTAGTTACTGTGAACATCTGGTCACAAGTTTTTCTGTGTGTTTTTTAAAACTGGTATTAGATTTGCCTGATAGAATGGGGATTGTGTATGTCATGGATTATAACTGCTTTGACCAAGAAGAAAAATAAAATAAAATTAAAAAAACAAACAAACAAAACTGGTATTAGAGAGAGAAACATCAACTGGCTGCCTCCCGCACATGCCCCGACAAGAGGTTGAACCTGAAACCTGGGTACGTGCCCTGACCTGGAATCGAACCTGCCACCTTCTGGTGTACAGCATGACACTCCACTGAGCCACACTGGCCAGGGTTGGCCATGAGTTTTTCATCAATGAATCAATAGACAGCCTTGTTTTTGTGTTACTGTTTAAAGCAGGGGGTCCTCAAACTACGGCCCGCGGGCCACATGCAAATACAAATATTGTATTTGTTCCCGTTTTGTTTTTTTACTTCAAAATAAGATATGTGCAGTGTGCATAGGAATTTGTTCATAGTTTTTTTTTAAACTATAGTCCGGCCCTCCAACGGTCTGAGGGACAGTGAACTGGCCCCATTTAAAAAGTTTGAGGACCCCTGGTTTAAAGACACTTTATTTATTCATGGTCAACAGCACCATAACTAATGCCTGTGCAAGCAAAGTTTACCTAATACACATTTCCTCTGCGAGGCACTTCAGTCTTCTTGTACTTTGGTGCACTAGACAGCACTTTAACACTATGCTTTTAAACAATGAAATCAACAAAAAAGTCACAAAAATGCAAAAAAGATGTGGCATTAAATAGGCCATGAATATGACCTTAGTTGGGAATATGCACAATGACTCAAAATTTTCCTCGCGTTATGCATGTCCATAAATGACCTTGAGGTATGCAAGTACTGATTGTGGTTATAAATTTTGGCAAGTACAAATTTGCAAATACAGTATCCGCAAACGAGGACTGACTATAATTACTGCAAACATGAGAATCAACTTTAATTAAGGTCAAACTATTTTAGAATTAAATTAAAAGCACCTAAGACGTGTCAATTATACCCTATCAACTTCAGACCAGCTGAAACTATTTTTCAGGAAAAGCTAAGAACTTTTTTTTTAAAACATTTAAAGTGATGGGGAAACTGATACAATTGTGTTTTATTGGAATTAAGTAATGGATAATGTTCAGGAAACCTATTCCTTACCCTGGAGAAAAGTGTGTTGAGGCAGTGTACTTTTTGGCGCTCAGTTACATATGCGTAGTACTGGGTTACTCCCTTCAAAGTTAATTCCTCCATCAGGTTAATCTCATAGGGTTTCTGCAAATGGGAATTCTGAAAACAAACAAACAAACAATAAATAAAACAGAAGAAGTCTTATTCTTAAGTGAAAGCAGAGTGTATCTCTTAAGCTCAAAATATATCCTATACATCTGTCTGTAAAAACTATTGCTTTAAGGATGTAGCTCTCTTGAAAACAAAAATATACAATCTTTCATGGAAGAAATAAATTACAATAAAATGTGAGATTTAACAGTCAGATATGTAACTAAGTTACTATTTTATACTTTGTGTACAGGATTATGCTGAAATAAATTTACATAGGATCAATGGCTGTGTCAGCAGCCTGACACCAAAAAGTGAACAATGAAGGATTTAATCAAATTACTATTTAAAAATTCAGTTAATTTATGCACAACAAACCTTAATCAGCTGAAAAAAAAAGCCAAAAACTTAAAAATAATCAGCCTAAACTGTAGCCTGATAATAAGATATAATTATGAATGAAGATATGCGCCTGAGAAACAATTTGGCATTGCTTCCAAGCACATCTGTCTCACACTCACCATGAACTTCTGTACACTAAGAGGGAAAGTAGCGGAATACAATAAAATCTGTCTGTTTTTAGGTAGCGTGAGAATAATATCCTCCATTATTTGCACAAAATCCTGTGACAGCAACTTATCTGCCTGCAGTACAAGAGAAGACAATTTTAAAAACAATTAAATAATGTCAAGGTCTTTAGTAACTACGGCATCATCCACCAAGAGCATTCATGGAATGTTCCTGGTGGTAAACACGAAGTTCTCTACACCACAACATAACCCGACAGCACCAAGGACTCAGAAGGGGGAAAAGTCTGTAATACCCATCTACAGGGGGAAATGGTGGCAGGAATCCTAGCAGATTCCATAACAGAATTTTAATATGATTTCCTTTAAAGAGGCAGTATGGTATACTGGTTAAAAGTACAAGCTGCAGAGTCAAATTACTTGGATTGAAATCTTGTTTTCTTCAATTTACTACATGGGGAGGTTGCTTAACCAATCAATTCTTCACATTCTACAATTTTTAAATTAGGACGTGTACTCACTACAGTAACTTCACAGGATACCTATCTTACAAGGTTGTTGCAAAAATTAAATTAAAAACAAAAAAAACATGTAAAGCACCTAGTGTTAATACAGAGTGAAAAATAAATGTTCCCTCTCATTCCTAAAAAAAAAAGCTGATCTGAATTAGACCACAATCGACCTGATCTGTCTATCTAGCTAAAACGCAGACCAAATAGGAAAGTAATTTTATTTCAAAATATTAACAGTGATATACTGTATGTATAAAACACTACTGGAACCAAAGGACACAGAGCTGAGTAAGTTCTTAAAGGCACTTACTACCTAGTGAGATAACACATGTAACAGAGACTAAAAAACCAAATATTATACGCTAAATGAGGGGTTAAAGACATTACATGCCTTTTAAGATGTATCACTAAATGGAAAGAGACTTAGCATGAACTTGGTTTGAGGTAATTCAACAACTTCTCATCTTGAAAAATAAAAATAAAATCCAAACTATCTGGCATCCCTAAGAAAGGCACAAGGCTGAACTATTCCTATAAATAACTATCATCTATTGCCTTTAAAGGGCAAAACGTATTTTATAAGCATATTAGTTTGAACTGACAAAAGTCGTGTGTTTATTAGAAGATCATAAGGAAAACACAAAGAACCTTTGCTTCATTCACTGACAATTCTAAATAAAGCTCAGAATAATACAGAATAGCATCTTTGCAAATGAAGAGACATTACCTCATCCAATACTATCATCTGGACATGATCAACTTTTGCTACTCCTTTCTTGATAAGATCCAGGATTCTCCCAGGGGTAGCTATTACCACGTGCACTACACAAGATTAGAAAACATATTCTCATTAATTTTAGCTTGGGCAAAAAGGATGTTGTAAAGGCTTGCATACATATATAAACCTTTAAAAATATATATCTACTAGAGGCCTGATGCATGAAATTTGTGCATGGGTAGGGTCCCTAGGCCTGGCCGGCAATCAGGGCTGATCTGTGGGGCGACCAGCAAAGCAATGGGGAGTGCGGGGGGGTGCCCCGCTGGCACCAGCCTTGGCTGGCCTGGGGCCTGCAGGCTGGGGGCAGCTCCTACATTGAGCGTCTGCCCCCTGGTGGTCAGTGTGCATCATAGCGACCAGTCGTTCTGCGTTTGGTCAATTTGCATTGTTGGAGAGTTAGGAATTCAGTAGTCCCTCCTTATCCAGTTTCACTTTCCATAGTCAAATGCAGTCTGGAAATATTAAATGGAAATTCCCAAAATAAACAATTCATAGGCTTAAATTTCAAGCCATTCTGAAAAATGTGATGAAAACTTGCACCTTTCCACTCAGACCTGCCCAGGATGTAAAGCATCCTTTTGTCTAGTACAGCAGTTCTCAACCTGTGGGTCGCGACCCCTTTGGCGGTCGAACGACCCTTTCACAGGGGTCGCCTAAGACCATCCGGCATATCAGATATTTACATTACGATTCATAACAGTAGCAACATTACAGTTATGAAGTAGCAACAAAAATAATTTTATGGTTGGGTCACAACATGAGGAACTGTATTTAAAGGGCCAGAAGGTTGAGAACCACTGGTCTAGTATATCTGCTAACCACCTATTAAGTCACTTAGGAGCCATCTAGGTTGTCAGATAGTTGTACCTCAGTGCTTGTGTTCAAGTAACATTTATTTTACTTAATTAAATGGCCTCAAGTGAAGAGCGGTGATGCTAGCAATTTGGGGGTGCCAAAGAGAAGTCAGAACATGCTTCCTTTAAGTGAAAATGTGGAAGTTCTCTACATAAGAAAAAAACTGTATGCTGAGTTTATTAAGGTGTATGATGAGAATCAATCTTCTACCCATGAAATTGTGAAGAAAAAGAAATTGGTGCTAGCTAGTTTTGCTGTCATACCTCAAACTGGGAAACTTAGGACCACTGTACATATAAGTGCTTAGTTAAGATGGAAAAGGCATTAAGTTTATGAGTAGTAGATGTGAACAGAGAAGGGCCAAATTCACATAACTTTTATTACAGTATATTGCTGTAATTGTTCCATTTTATTATGTTACTGTTGTTAATATCTTACCTAATTTATAATGTGTACGTATGTATATGTGTGTGTGTGTAGGGTTTGGCACTATCTTAAGTTTCAGGCATCCATTGGGTGAGGGGAGGTCTTACAACATATCCCTTGCAGGTAAGGGGGGACTACTGTAGTACAAAGAAACAAAGATTTGTATTTTAGAATATGGATTTCTATTTCATCTTAGGTTGACTAAGATATACTTGTTTGTTTCACCTCTACATGGGATAGGCTAAAGTAGTGGTCGGCAAACCGCGGCTCTTTGGCCCCTTGAGTGTGGCTCTTCCACAAAATACCATGTGCGGACGCGCACATACAGTGCAACTGAAACTTCATGGCCCATGCGCAGAAGTCAGTTTTTGGCTTGGGCAAGTCTATTTTGAAGAAGTGGTTCTAACTATAGGTTTTAACAAAGACTTAAAACTTTAAGTAAAGTTTATTAAGTTAATTTTAGGGAATGTTGTGGAGTGAAAAAGGATTGAGAAAGGTATGTTGAGATGGTTTGGACATATAGAGAGGATGAACGAAAGGAGATAGACGAAACAAGTATAGAAGACGAGTGTGGATGGGAGAGTTGGAAGGGGTCGACCTCAGTGAACGTACCTCAATCAGATTGAGGACGTTTTTAGCAAAGGCCAGCTTAGGAGGACCCTAATTAAGTTAATAACAATGTACCTACCTATATAGTTTAAGTTTAAAAAATTTGGCTCAAAAGAAATTTCAATCGTTGTACTGTTGATATTTGGCTCTGTTGACTAATGAGTTTGCCGACCACTGGGCTAAAGGTTCCCAAATTACTTGCTCCAAATAAAGGGCATATTTCCTTCTTAGGAAATCCCTAATGAATAATAAAAGGCATAGCAGGCTTCTAATATAGTGGACTGCCTTTCAACTAGAGCAATGGTCTTGAGGAAACTGTTATAAGGATCAAATGATATAATCATGTAAAATAACTGTGTAGTATGAAGACTATAGTAATTGATCTAATGAAAACCATATTAAAATCTAATATTCTATGTATAATTTTATTTATAAGATTTCATTCTTGTTTTATCTTTTTTTTCACACAGTAATGTATCATGGAGAACCCTTCATAAAAATTAATACCGATCAGCTTCATTCTTTAATGGCTGTGTGGATTCCATTCAGACTATCCTCTAATGTTTAGGCTGTTCCAATTTTTCAGTACTACAAAACCACAATGTAGTGAACAGCCTTGCATTTGCCCAATTCTTTTTTAAAAAAAGATTCTTGAAAATATACATAATTTTGAAATATACCAACTTGCCCACCATAGAGATTGCATTAATTTATACTCCTATATTGTAAGGCAGCCTATTTTGCCACAAACTCATGTTATTGGTTACTAATGTGTTTTTGGTCTTGCCAATCAGAAAGGCACAATATCAATTTGCTGTTTTTATTTACATTTTTCATTTTAATTACTGTCAATCTGTCTTTTTTCTTGGATGAGGCTGTCATTTCCTTTATTCATTTTTCTACTGAAATGTTTTCATTCCTTATTAATTCTTGTTTAAATTGATTTTTAAGACACAGAAGGGGGGAGGGAGAGAGGAAAGAAAGAGAGAGAAAGAGAGAGAGAGGCGCGTGCGCGCACACACATCAATTGATTTCCTGCATTCAGGGATCAAACCCACAACCTAGGTATGTGCCCTGACCGGGAATCAAACCCGCAATCCTTTGGTGCACGATACAACACTCCAACCAACTGAACCACCTGGCCAGGGCCCTTATTAATTCTTAAAAACAATTTTTCATAAGTTATTGAAAGGAAATGCCTGTGTATGAAATTACACTTAAGAGAGCTAGGCGACTTTGTATGAGTTATTTCCTACCTGTATCATCAAGCCTCATTATGTCATCACGTAAATTGGTTCCTCCTGTGGTTGCCATCACTTTGGCCCCTCCCATGTGTTTGCTGACCTGGATGCAAATTTGACTGACCTGTAGAGCAAGTTCTCTTGTAGGAACAATCACCATTGCTGAAAAATAACAAGCAACAGAGAAAATAGGAAAAAATAACATATATTTTAAGAGTTTAAGAAGCTACAGAAATACTGCTCCTTGCAATCTAGATACTCAGACATACTAAAAAATTAAATCATAATAGGCCTAACCAATTCTAAAAAGTCAAATGAACAAATCTTTAAAAAAAACTAAAACAAAAAAACCCCTTAGTGATCCAGATATAGACGTTTCCTAAACAATGTTGCTGTAAGTCTTGTTCTATTATCGATTACAAACTTTTAAAGGGTTCTCTATAAATTGGCACCTGCTTAAAGTTTACTAATTTAATATTTCAGTAAGAGACTCACTAGTCTAAACACCCAAATAGAAAACTCTTGCCCCAGGTTCATTTATATCACATGAAAGTAGGTAAATGAAAGATGGGAGAAATTATAATTATAGGTCCCAAGAGCTGAAAATTAAAACAAAACAAAACTGCTTTAAAAGTGAAAACTTAACTCTCTTAGCTTACTCTGTGTACAAGCACGAAATGTTTCTTCCCTACTGCCTCAGCTTTTAAAATTCCAAAAACGCAAGGCTTTAAAGAGAAGGGATTCATGTTTCTATAGGAAACTTGCAGACACACAGCTGCCACAGAAACAATTCAGTTCCATAGGTTTTTTTCTATTTTGTTTATTTTTGTTCATTAGATTCCACATATAAGTAAAATCACAGTTCCATAGTTTTTAAGTAATAACATCCAACAATTTAACTTCTCATGATCTTAGTGTTCCTATGTAGAAGGCAATAGCTTACTTTGCCTATATCACTGGAATATTGTCAAAACTGCATAATATAAAAAAATATTTTGAAAACTATTTAAAGAGTTGTGGGGGGAAAAAAGGATAAATACTAATTCCAGATTATGTAAATTCTAACTTAAAAAAATTATCTATCTTCTACATAGCTCCAAGATTTAAACTGTCATTTTTAGTTTAAACAAACAACTAACCTTGTATATTGTCCTTCTTCAGGTCTAGCCGTTCAAGTAAGGGAATGAGGTAGGCACCACTCTTGCCCGTTCCATTTTTTGCTCTAGCTAAGATATCCCTACCAGATAAAGCGATGGGAATGCTCTCCTCCTAAAAGAGACAAGACAATACAAATTACTTGTGAATAAAAACAGCACAGCCTGGCAGGCATGGCTCAGTGTTTGAGTGTCAACCTATGAACCAGGTGGTCACAGTTCGATTCCCAGTCAGGGCACATGCCCGGGTTGCAGGCTTGATCCCCAATGGGGGGCGTGCAGGAGGCAGCCAGTCAATGAAATGATTCTCTCATCATTGATGTTTCTCTCTCTCTCTCTCCCTCTCCCTTCCTCTCTGAGATCAATAAAAATATATATTTAAAAACAAACAAACCCAAAACAGCACATAAGCAAATTCTTCTCTAAAATACACTGAAGGTATATCTCTTTCGTATTGCTTTAAAGTGTCCTTTATGTTTGCATTTTACAAGAATAAGTAAGTAGAGACCACGTAAATGAGCAAGACCAGTCAGCATCACCATCATTATCAACCAATATTTATTTACTAAAACTGCTCATAGAATATATATTAAATTGCATTCCAATGTAATAAAAACTGTACATGTAAGTGTGTATGGCCAAGGAAGCTGAGCATCAACAACAAAGAGAACAAAGAAAGGAGGAACTTGAGCTGACAGAGAGAGAGAAAAAGCAGAAGACAGTTCACAATTAAAAAACTGGAGAAAAAAATGACCAAAAAATACAAAGCAAACACTATATATGATATTTTAAGACTAATAAGCCAATTTTACAATGAAAACTTGTATCTTGGACAACTTACCCTTGCAAAAAGCAGGAATAGGCTGGAAAAGTCTAACCTCAGGTCCTATTTCATATTTAATAATTAGATCCATAAACCTCCAATATCTGTCTTACAGCCACTCCTCTGTCCTGAAATGTGCTCAAATGAAGAGTCAATTCCAATCTAGTTACCTCAATCCATGGTCACTTGACTGAGGGGACTCTCATTTTCATATTAAATTACTGTCATGTGTGTTTTGCAGAAGACAACATTTCCTATTAAATCAGGACAAATTTCCCAGACAATAGCAAAGGAGTCTCAACATTACTAAAAATTAAATACACATATATCTACAGGGAAACTAAAAAGGCAGAACAAGTATAAAGAGGGAGGAAGCTGAACATTCCTATTTCTCAAATTAAAGAAATTAGTTTTAATTTTTAAAACGAAAAAGTTAGGTCCAGCCAGTGTGGCTCAGTGGTTGAGTGTCGGTCCATGGACCAGGAGGACATGGTTCAATTCCCTGAGGGGGCACATGCCTGGGTTTTGGCAGCTCAGTCCCCAGTGTGGGGCATGCGGGAGGCAGCCAATCAATGATTCTCTCTCATCATTGATGTTTCTATCTCTCTCTCCCCCGTCTCCCTTCCTCTCTGAAATCAATAAAAAATATACTTAAAAAAAATAAAAACCCAACTAAAAAGTTAGGAAAATAAATTAGGAGATTCATAATCATTGTAATAATTAGTTCTTTCTATGCCTAAGCTTATGACCAAAAGAAATCTCTCCAGCACTTTAAAAAATTTTTTAAATATATTTTTATTATAGAAATATCTAAGTCATAAGCATAATGACTTCTATTTCCCACCATGACACTTATTCTACCCAGAACCCAATCACAGGGGTCAGATGGGTTCCGTATGGTCAGAATAACTAGCATAGACACCAGAACTGTGAAAATGGTCCGGTGACAATACTGTTATCTTGTTCCTATAACCAGCAGTAAATAGTCTGCTTATTGTGGTAAAGCAGGTCAAGGAAGAAAATGACTGGAGATCAAACCCGCAACCTAGGTGTATCAGGACAACGCTTTAACCCACTGAGCAACTAGGCCAGGGACTCTTCTATGGTTTTTAAACAGGCCACCTGCACACCATAGCCAAAAAAAAAAAAAAAAAAAAGGGAGGGGGAATGGATGGGGCTAAATGGTCTCCAAGGGTCTTCCAATGATTTTCTGAGCCAGGTCCTCTAAAACTATAAACATTTTTAATGAAGTCAGGCAGGGTAGAATTAATTTGGGGGTATCCTAATTCACATTTTGGGTATGTCAGTTGATTTAGATTGAGGCCACTAACTTCTAAATCCCTCTATTTTCTTTGACAGGGCTCATGCTCTACAGAAACTGTTTAAGGGTAAGACTTTGTAACAAAGTCAGCAAGCTAGTCTGTAGTTAGGATGCACTGGTATTTTGCCTGTATGATGGCCGTGATGATTAGTCTGGTAATTCAGCACATCCACACTGTCTCTTACCACTGTTTCCTAGGAAGACCAGGTAATATGAAGCAAGAAAACTCAGATTCAGACAGCTCTGAAACCAAGAGGAAATAATGTGAAGCTGCCAGAAGAGAAGGAGAAAAGGAAGCTAAAAATTCTTGAAACACTGTGTGCTAGGCACTCTGCTAGGTAGATACCTTATAATATTTATGTCCTTTTAAGTTTGGTACTTTTTGTTTTACAATTTATAAAATGGATCCTCAGAGATTAATTGTTTTGCCCAAGGTCACGAAGCAAGAAATGCTAGAACCAGGACTTGAACTTAAGTCTACAAATAACAACATGTAAGTGAGGATGTGGAGAATTCAAAACCCTCACACACTGCTAGTGGGAATGTATAGCCACTTTGGAAGTCTGGCAACTTCTCAACAGGTTATACAGCATTAGCATATGAACCCACAATTCCACTCCCAGATATATAACCCCAAAGTGAAAACATCTCCACACAAAACTTGTACATTAATGTTCATAGCAGCACCTATATAATAAAAGCCCAGCGACTATTACGGCACAACGACTGAAACGACCGGTCGCTATGATGCACCAGCTGCAAGGGCCACCGCCAGTGCTGCTGCCGAGCCCGAGGGCCCCGGGGCTGGCTGCACAGCCGCCGCCAAGGCACCAGTAAAGAAGAACGCGAAGGTGGCCAGTGTGAGCGTGCGGCTTAAGATGAAGGCTCTGTGGGACAAATTCAATCAGCTGGGCACCGAGATGATCGTCACCAAGGCTGGCAGGTCAGGGCACCCCTCTCCCTGCTGCAACCCTCCCCATGTGGCACCAGTCTTGGGTAGTGGGCTTTGGCCCGATCCACACGAGCAAGACAGAGAAGTGGGGTGGGGGGGTGCAGCCTGGCAACCTGTGAGTCCAGCTCCTTCGCTCTCCGAGTCCCGGCTCTAGCGAAAGCCGCCTGGCGCGCCGGGCCGGAGGGTACTGCTCAGGAGGCCAGGAAGGTGGGGGAGAGAAGCCTGTGGACCTGCCGCCCGACCAGCAGCCCAGGACCGGGCACTGCCAGAAATGGACCTGCTCAGAGCACACCGAGCTTGGGGGGGCCTTGCCACCAGCCGGCTCCAGATGGATCCCACCTCAAAGGAAACTTGGTCTTTGGTTCCTTAGTTCAGTCTATCCTGGCTAAAGAGGAGCAGTTGGGCACATTTTAGGGGAGAATTAAGACTCTAAAACAGTGTCTTCTGTTCCATGGAGATGGCTACCCAGTTGTCTTAGGCCTAAACTCCGGGTGATTGTGGGGCCTGGCTCTGCCACTGGGGCCTGCATTTTCCAATTGGCCTGTATTTGTTGTAAGGGCCCAAAAAGAAGAAGGAGAACAAGTTTTTCGAAGCAATGGATTTGACCAACAGACGAAGGCGAGTGCCAGGCTGTGTCTAATGTGCACACAGAGACACTAGCTGAGTCTGCCTGGCCAAAGGGAACTCAGGGCCTGTTTGCAGAGCCTTCTGGTGGTTTCTGTTTCCTTGCTGAGGCTGTCCTCCCTGGGAAGCCTGGGGTCCATGCTCAGCTCCAGCTCAGTGGGTCTTCTCCAAGCCCCCCCCTCCCCCCGGCCGTCCTGCCCCCAATCGGCCCCCCACCCCAATCGGGGGCGGTGCCAGCCAGCCTGGCCCGATTGGGGCGGGCCAACCGGACCCCACCTGTGTAGGAATTCATGTACCAGGCCTCTAGTTATTCATAATAGCTAACAGTGCAAACAACCCTACCAACTGATGAGTGGATAAACCAAATGTGGTATAGCCATACAATGGAACATTACTCAACAGAAAGGAATAAAGTTTTGATATATGTCACAACATGAATGACCCATAAGGAAATATGATATGCCAAAAGAGCTAGCCACAGGAGACCATATATTGTATAAATCTATTTATAGGAAATGTCTAGCATAGGTAAATCATGCTATAGAGACAGAAAGTAGATTAGTGGCTGCTTAGAGATAAGAGAAAATGAGGAGAGACTGTTAAAGAACTTTCTGAGTGGTTCTCAACCTTCCTAATGCCGCGACCCTTTAACCCTTTGCACTCCGAACCATTCTGGACATTGGCTACCAGCTACTCGACGCTACTTTGCGGCGGAAACGTGCATTTACAGACCCTCGTATTATTTAGTATAATTTTGGAACCAAGTAACATATTATAATGATATTGGACTTATATGAATTGGGTGACATCGAGGAATGTATATTTGCAAAAAAAACAATATTTTATTGTTTATAATTTTGTACAGTATGATAAGTTTTGTAATACTCCCCAATATGCATTGCAGGCTGATTAGTGCATGTTTGACAGTAATAAGTGGTTTGACGCCTGCCACCAGGTGTTTTCCTGTTAGAACACACAATGCAGTCCCGTTTTCTTTGTCCCACATCGGGAATATGTAGTTTATTGTTTAATCCGACACAAAACCCGCTGACATTTCTTGTATATATCTTAGTAATTTTACGATATTTTGATTTAATTTCTTGTGCCATTTCAAGATAAAACTTCAGGGAAACATGCATGTCTCAAAAAGTTGCGTTGAAATAACTCAATTCCCCGTAATCACTAATAAACTGCAATGTCCCCTGAGAGGGGACATCCGAGTGATATGCTAGAATTCCGATGTCCCCTGAGAGGGGACAGCGGAGTGCAAAGGGTTAATACGGTTCCTCATGTTGTGGTGACCCCAACCATAAAATTATTTTCATTGCTACTTCATAACTGTAATTTTGCTACTGTTATGAATCGTAATGTAAATATCTGATATGCAGGATGTATTTTCATTGTTCGTGACCCACAGGTTGAGAACCGCTGGTTAGGGTGATGAAAATGTTCTAAAACTGATTGTAGTATTGCTTGCACAACTGTGAATATACTAAAAACCATTGAATTGTATACTTTAAATGTGTGAACTGTATGATATTTGAGTTATATTTAATTTAGCCCAACAATCCCACAACCTTAGGTCTGATGATGGCAGAATCATGCCACCTTAGTTCTCCAAGTCCATGATCCTCTGTAAGGTCTAGGAACTGATCCAATCTCTCTATATATAAAAGCCTAAGCGACCATTACGACCGAACGACCAGTCAACCAGTCACTATGACGCACATTGCCCACCAAGAGGCAGACACTCAACGCAGGAACTGCCCCCTGGTGGTCAGTGTGCTCCCACAGCCAACCTCCCCTGGCCCCAATCGGGCCAGCGGCCAACCTCCCATGGTCCCTCCCCACAGCCCCCCGGCCGTACACCAAGCCGAGTGAGAGAGAGAGAGTGTGTGTGCGTGTATAGATATATAATATATTATATATATATACATATATATGTATATAGAAAGAGAGACATATATAGACATATATATCTATATATAAGTATATATAGATATGTAGATATATATAGAGAGAGATATAAAGATATATTGGATTTATTTTTGTTACGTTAGTATCCATTTCCCTTTCTTAGTAGAACCCTAGCTTCCTTCTGAGATAGTACATCTCTCCCACCCCAATATATCCATAGTCTAGCCAACCTCCTTAGCCATATGGTAGACACTGGCATTGCTGTGTTTTCCACAAATTCTCAGGCAAAATAGTAGTGAAGAAAAAGACAATGTGAATGTGAATGGTAGTCTCAGGTATCTAATACTTTGGCTAAGTGGCTGGAGAATTAATTGCCTATATGCTATACCAACACTGAGAATGCAAATAACAAAGTCAATTTTAAAATTTAATACAAAGGTGGGAAATAGAAGCCAGCAAGGGTCTGCTAAATGAACCAATAAATAAAACTGTTATATGGAACAATAACCCATAACATTTCTTCTGCATTTAACACATACTAGGCACTGTATTAAGCATACTAACATTCATCATCTCACTGAATTTTCACAATAGCCCTATGGTATATGCTATATCAATTTTATAGGTTAGCAAACCAGGGCTTAGGAAGATATCTCAATCAACTAAAAAAGCAGTAGAGTTGGGATTCAACCTGGGCAGCCTGCTTGCAAATCTAGTGTTCTTAAGCAGTTCTCTAAGCAGGTTAGACCAAGTTCGCCTGCCGACATATGTTAACCATAATTTCAAAGCTTTCTACATGCAACTGGCATTTTGAGGGCCTGTTTCCTGCATGCACCTTGCTAAGTACCAGAGATACAAAGTTGAATGACATAGACCCTACAGAAGAGCTCTCAGAACACTTTTTTTATCCGTACAGATAAAATACATTAACATGAACTACAGTAGGTCCTCAGGTTACAGTGGCGATCTGTTCCTACGGCGCGACGTAAGGGGAAACACGATTTTCGCCGTAAGTCGGAACCCACCTACATAAGCACCTATGTCACTCACATGGAGCACATACACAGCAGTAATGAAGTAAAACAGTAAAAAAAAAAATTTAAAAGAAAGATAACAATTCCTGACCTTTACTTGTGGTAAATAAATAATAAAAAAACATAAAGTACATATGTCGAAATGACGGAACTTTTTTTTTTTAATATAAATAAATGGGAGATGGCGATGTAACCACAAAATGATGTACGCTGAGTCTGTCTGTATATTACAGAAAAGTAGTTTACATATTTTTAATATCCACATTCACACTGCCTATCTGATTATGTATAACCTTATCTTGACACTTTCTCTAGCCATAATAAACTTCTTTTGGTTTGTCCACTAAGGCACACTTTCACCCCTAGACAATCACTAGCCTAGTGTTCTGTGCTTAGAACATGGATCAATTCTTCTTCCAGGTTGTTCCATCTTCCTCAAATGGCTACATATTTGTGCAATTTCAAGTAGAAAGTAGTATTACACTAAATTATCTGTACAATTAGCTTCACAGACTGTGAAGGCAGGAACCTTCTCTGCCTTTTCAACACAACATCCTGCACCTAACACTTTCTAGGTCACTCAATGTTTGCTTAATGAAAAAGTGCTCAATGATGTCATAGGGGATTGTCCTTAAAGGCTAGATGCAACACTTTTAAGTTACATAAAGAGAACAGTCGTTTATCAAATCTGCATATGTACACTGCATGTTTATGTTTACATATACGCATGTACATGCATGCATACATACTGTATATTCCCTTGCTCTTTCCACTGAAAGGGCCAAGGAGCAAAGAGTGCACCTAGTGTTCAGATGTTGGCCTCTAACCCTATTCCCCACTAATTGGAACCGGGGCTGGGGGAAAATGGCTGATTCCAAGGCTGGGGCAGGGTAGGTACAGATAAGCTTCATGATATGCCAAAAATGAAGTGCTCAAGAAAAATGGAGGGAGGAAAGGGTGAAGAGGTGGAGCATAAAGAATTTTTTAGGACAGCGAAACAACTCTGTATGATACCATAAAGGTGGATATATGTCATTATACATTTGTTCAAACTCATAGAATGTACAACACCAAGAGTGAACCTTAAGGTAAACTGTGAACTTTGGATGTTTGGATGATACATGTCAATGTAAGTCATCAGTTGTAACAAATGTATCACAATGTATAACTCTTGCAGAGAATACTGATAATGGGGGGGGGGGGGTGCTATGCATAAGTGGGGACAGGAGTATATGGGAAATCTCTATCTTTCAGTTCAATTGCTATGAGCTGAAAATTGCTCTAAAAATAGTCTATCCATGGCAGGGGTGGGGATGGGCTGGGGGGTAGATGGGGTGAAAAGGGGACATATGCAATACTTTCAATACTAAAGACTAAAAAAAAGAAAGAAAAGAAACCTGATAAAAATAATAAAATTTAAAAAATAAAAATTATCTGAAAAAGAAAAGGGGGCATGTTACAAAACAACCTCGAAGGAGCTCATACTACCCAAATCTGGGAATTTGAGCACAAAAATATCATTGGGGGAAAAAAAGAATTCATGATTCCATACTGATTATATATATACACACACATACTAGAGGCCCGATGCACGAAATTCGTGCAAGAGCTCGGCCCTCGCAGCTCCAGCTGCCTTGGCCCATCGTGGTTCCGCCCACTGGTCGTTCGGCGTCTGGTCTAATTAGCATATTAGCTCTTTATTATATAGGATATGCATAAGGAAGAGATAGGGAAGGCTCTTTAAAATGCCAAAGGAGTCCTAGAGTTGGAAACTCATTATAATTCAACAAAGATAGGATTATCAATGGATGCTAAGACTAGGAGAAACTTTGATGAAGAGTAGGATCTCTGCATGATCTTAAAGTGATCTCTACAGATGCTTATTAATTCCAAGATAGGAAAAAAGCTGCAATTATACAGTAGAAAAATCAGAAGCCGCTTTGACAGCATAATCAAAATTAAAACATCAATGAGAAATAAACAGACATTGTGTACACCTCCAAATGTGATATCCTGAGAAGGCCATAGCATGATTTCTACAGTATTTTGGCTGAGAATGTATTAACTTTAATCACATAGAAACATGAGACAAACCCAGAATGAGGAATGTTCTATTTTAAAAAGGGTACTATATTTTTTAATATATCATCAATATCATAAAAGACTAAAACAGACTAGGGAAATGCTGAAAGGAGGTTAGAGAGATATAACTATATGCAATACCCAATCCTAGGATGGATTCTATACCAAGGAGGGAAAAAAATGCTAAAAAGGACATTTTCGGGTCAATTAAAAATTAGAATCCAAATGATGAGATAGAAGTATTGTATTAATGCTGATTTGACTGCAGATAACTATATTGTGGTTATACTAGAGGCCCAGTGCATGGTCGGGGGTTGGGGGGAGCTTGGCTGTGGGAATGCACTGACCACCAGGGGCCAGCTCCTGCATTGAATATCTGCCTCTGGGTGGTCAATGAGCGTCATAGTGATTGGTTGACTGGTCATTTGGTTGTAATGGTCGCTTAGGCTTTTATATATGTAGACATAACATAGTATCTCTATTCTTAGGAAACACTGAAATATTTAGAGGTGATGGCCATGATTTTGTAACTTACTCTTAAAAGGTTTGGGGGGAAAAAAAAGGTTCGGAAAACGAGTGCATATATGTGTGGGTGTGTACACACAAGAGAAATATTCATTTTATCATCCCCATAGATGATAAGTATGTAATTCTTCACTCATAACATTACACACGTAATAAAAAGGGGAAACATACCTGAATAGGAGATGGCTTTTCCCAGCCCATTTCAAAAATTCCCATCAGTAACTCCCGCTTTAAACAGTAATCTTCAAACTCATTTCCTTTTGTGGAGGTTACATCCTAGTCAACCAAACAAAACAATAATAAAAGAATAAAGCACAACTGTGTTCATTAGTTAGCATGCTTAAGAAAGTTTGTCTGAGAAACTAATTCTTTATCTGTCCCATTTAAGATATAAATATATGCAGATTAGCTCTGTCCTGATTTGTATTTCAACTATTCCTGAAGAATAATCACTCTCTAACAGACACAAGTCATTTAAAAACTGTGTCTGGAGGAAAGGCCACTCTGTGGTCATATTCTTCTAAGGAACAGGTGGAATACTGTAAGAATCATGCTGTGAAATTAAAATCGAAGATATGAAATCAAACCCTAGTTTACCACTCATTGCTTACAAATAGCCTAGTCAAAATCAGGGCTTCTCAAGCTCAGCAATATTGACATTTGGGCCAGAAAATTCACTGCTGTAAGGGGCTGTCTTGTAGCCTTTCCCCAGCTGTGATAACCAGAAATGTTTGTAGCTATTGCTAAATATCCCTTGGTTGAAAATACTGGGCTAAGAGAACTAACCATTTGCAACTTCCATTTTCTCATCCACAAAATGGAGATAACACCTGGCCTCAATCTTACTGAACAAAAGAGAATATGCCTTGAAAACTATCCTATATAATAAAAGCGTAATATGCAAATTGTCTCCTCAGCTGGGAGTACAACTGCATGCTATGACATGCACTGACCACCAGGGGGTGGTGTGGAACATGGCAGGCACTGGTGACACAACACTGGCAGCGGGCAGCAGTGGAGGCGCTGCCGGCCTTGATGGGCCCCCGACAAGAGCAGGGCCGCGGAGGGATGGTGGAGCAGGTTAGCGGGTGGCGCCAGGCCAGGCAGGGGTGAGTGGGCCCCGATTGCCCCACAGACAGCGACCAGCGGTGGCGGGGGGCCCAATGACTTAGGGGAAGGGGGCATACAGGAGCCCGGGTGCTGCCCAAGGCCCAGAGGTCAGCTGGGACCTGCCCTTCCACGCCAGATGCTCGCGTTTCAATCGCCGGCCAGGCCTAGGGAGTGCACCCATGCGCAAATTTCATGCACTGGGCCTCTAGTTATTCCATAAATTAGAAAAGTATACATACATATAAATATTAATATGTAGATACACATTTTAATATAAGTCCTCCAAATAGTGAAAATTCTTGGCAATTCATCACATTGTCTACACCAGTGATGGCGAACCTATGACACGCGTGTCAGAGGTGACACACGAACTCATTTTTTTGGTTGACTTTTCTTTGTTAAATGGCATTTAAATATATAAAATAAATATCAAAAATATAAGTCTTTGTTTTACTATGGTTGCAAATATCAAAAAATTTCTATATGTGACACGGCACCAGAGTTAAGTTAGGATTTTTCAAAATGCTGACACGCCGAGCTCAAAAGGTTCGCCATCACTGATCTACACAATTTCAACCATTTCAACTTAAGAGTGAACACATAGTACCCATTATTATTAATTAACTAGAGGCCTGGTGATGAATTCGTGCATGGGTGGGGTCTGGCCCGATTGGGCCAGGGGGAGGGGACGCAGGAGGTTGGCCGGCTAGCCTGTCCCCTGGTCAAACTCCCAGTCGAGGGGACAATTTGCATATTAGCCTTTTATTATATAGAAATTACTTCACTTTTAGAGTTTCCACACCATCTTAAGTTAAATTTTACAACCAACTTACCGAAGTTTTGATTCTTAGATCCTTTGGAGGGAGTTTTAAAGTCTTTTTCCAGTCATCACCAGGTCTAGAGAGAATGTAGTAAAATTGAAGTATCAGAATTCATAGCATCATATTCTAATACAAAGATAATTCATCTCAATTATAATTAAGTTATAAAAAGCACAGTAAGTTTAATATATTGCCATTTACTTAAGAATATAGTTAACAGCCCTGGCCCGTGTGGCTCAACTGTTTGGAGAGCATCATCTCACACACCAAAAGGTGGTGGGTTCAATTCCTGGTTGGGTGCCTGTGGGAGGCAACAGATCAATGTCTCTCTTGCATCAATATTTCTCCCCTACTGCCCCCTCTAGAATCAATAAAAAAATCTAATATATATATAAAGAATATAGTTAACAGATAAACATATCATGTATGTGTTTTAAACTAGTTACCAATATTAAAAAATTAGAAGATTTTGTGTAAAAGTCCAGATTCTGGCTTTTCCTGTAAAACTGGAAGCTTTAGCAACATTGGTTCCAAATTTCTGCACGGCAATAGTTCGACAGAGCTTGGTAACTGAGTTTAAAATCAAGCAGCTGACCCTTTAAAGAGGGCAAGTATCCTCTCATCTGGCACAGGCATCTGAGTTGGTAACTTCTGGATACTAGTTAAAACCAAGGACTCCAGCCCAGTTGGCATGGCTCAGTGGTTGAGCATCCACCTATGAACCAGGAGGTCATGGTTTGATTCCCAGTCAGGGCACATGCCTCGGTGCAGGCTCAACTCCTAGCGTGGGTCGTGCAGGAGGCAGCTGATCAATGATTTTCTCTCACCATTGATGTTTCTACCTCTCTCTCCCTCTTCCCCTCTGAATTAAAACAAAACAAGACACACACAAAAAACACACACCAGACTCCAAAGTTTCATCCCTGACCCTACCATTTATTTTTTGACCGGGCAGCAGTTACTTTTCCAAGTTTCCATTGTCATATATACAACGGGTTAAGAATTATATCAGGCCCTGACCGGTTTGGCTCGGTGGATAGAGCGTTGGCCTGCGGACTGAAGGGTTCCAGGTTCGATTCCGGTCAAGGGCATGTGCCTGGGTTGTGGGCTCGATCCTCAGTGGGGGCGTGCACGAGGCAGCCGATCAATGATTCTCTCTCATCATTGATGTTTCTATCTCTCTCTCCCTCTTCCTTCCTCTCTGAAATCAGTAAAAACACATTTTTTTAAAAAAGAATTATATTAGATAATTTACATAAAGCAATCAGCACAGTGTTGGGCTGCCTCCTGCAGGGGGACGGCCAATTGGTGATTCTCTCTGACACTCATGTTTCTGTCTCTCCCTTCCTCTCTGAAATCAACAAAAATATAAAAACAAACAAAAAACTCCTTTAAAAAAAAAAGAAAAAAGAAACAAAAGAACTCAATATTATCTGTTAATAAACATCTCTCTTAATCTTTTTTACCAGGTATGCTTTAAACCAGTGGTTGCCAACCTTTCAAACCTCGTGGACCACCGGTTGGCAACCGCTGCTCCAAAGGTTTCCTTAAACCAGTGGTTGCCAACCTTTCAGACCTCACGGACCACCGGTTGGTGAATGCTGCTTTAAAGTATGAAAACAGTTAAAACACAAGGAAAATATAATTTTTTAAATCTCTTTTAGGTCAGGCAGAAACCTCTACTATAATATCCAAAGCATCTAATAGAAAAAAAAAAAATTGGCAATAAGGCAAACAGTGCTTTTCAACAGCGTTGTCTTTAAAATAAATAAGTTTTGCCCTGGCTGGTTTCACTCAGTGGATAGAACGTCGGACTGCGGACTGAAGGTTCCTGAGTTCGATTCCGGTCAAGGGCACATGCCTGGTTTGCGGGCTTGATCCCCAGTAGAGGGTGTGCAAGAGGCAGCCAATCAATGATTCTCTGTCATCATTGATGTTTCTATCTCTCTCTCCCTCTCCCTTCCTCTCTGAAATAAATAAAAATAAGAAAATATATTTTTTAAAAATAAGTTTTGCCCTGGCTGGTGTTGTTCAGTGGTCAGAGCTTCACTCCAGGGGTCACTTGTTTGATTTCTGGTCAAGGGCACATACTGGATTAGGGGTTCACTCGCCATCTCTGGTGGGGGCGTGTGCTGGAAGCAACCAATCGACTGATGTTTCTCTTTCTCTCTCTCTCCCTCCCTCTCACCCTCCCTCCTTTCTACTCTCTAATAGCAATGGGGGGAAAATATATGTAATAATACGTTTTCATTATAGCCACTCATAATCAGAGCCTCCAAAACATTTCAAGTCTTGATTTAGAAAGATGAATCCTTATTTTACTTAAAGCTAGGCCCCACATAATCAAAGACACTCTAACAAAGGCAACTATTTGCTACCACTTCCAAGGGTATGAAAGCCTTCTACCTCAACCTATACCACAGCAGTTTCTAAGCAAAAATTGTCACCTGAACATCCTAGTAGGCCAGCCTACCACATTGTCAAATTCAACAGTGAATAAAAGCACAGAGGATACAATGCAAAATCTGTCCACAAGGAATTTATAAACCAAACTACTTAAAATAAGAAAACAGTGATAGCGCTAAGTATTAGAAGAGTTCTGAACAGCTGATGGGATCTAGAAGCCTTCATGGAAGAGATGACACTTGAACTGTGATTTAAAGAAGCCAAAGAATTGAAAAGAAACCATTAATCCTAGGAAAAGCAAAAGTAAAGTCCACTGTTGTCTCAAATTAGAATTTAAGTAGAAAACACTCCCATAATGAAATAACATAGATTTATGTTTCTGTTTTTAAGGAATAAAAATAGCCTAAATTTTGCTAGCCTGTTCATAGTTTATCAAGACAAACTACAATTCAGAAAATATTCTAATTAAAGCATTCACCTTAAAAATAATAGAATATGCATTAATGACAATTCTCCCAGTGACAAAATCAATTCTATTGGAAATTCTTATAGGTCACTAGTGAACCACATAGCAGTGACCATCTATATGATATGCTGGTATCTTGTAAAAGCTATTTTTCTTTAGGAAGTGATTCTTAAGCATGAAAGGATCTGGATTGTAACACAAAATACTTTAGTTCAGTGAACCTGTTTCATCATCTTAGAAGATTTCTAGAAGTTAAATCAACTATATGGCTAGATTCTTAACAAAGCCAAACCTCAAATGGGTCAAGTTTAAATGTTAGTTTTCTATTAACTGAATCTTTAGAGCGATATTTACCATTCAAATAATGTATAGTGAACACTTAAAAAATGGCAGCCTACAATCTTCCAGATTTGAAAGAAAACACATTCTGTAGTCAGATGAGGCTCTTAAGTTTTTAGTCAACTAGGGGAATTGGGGCTATTCAGAGAGTTTCCCAGAGTTCAAAATCCTGAGATTCTATGATATTTGACTGCGTATTATTTTGTGTGCGTGTGTGTGTGTGTGTGTGTGTAACAGGAGAAAGCTTATAAAACAAAAAATTTTAAGCAAAGTTGCATGAACTGAAAAAAAAAAGTTATGGATAAATTTTTATGAGTACATTTGGAGGTAAGAAGGCTGGGCAAGTCCTTAAATTTGAAACTTGAAATTGACTTTAAATGTCATTTAAACTAGGATATGGTGCAGTTATACAATGGAAAAATCATACTGACAAAAACAAGATGAATCTGAGCTAATTATGAAAACCATCAATGTTTAAAATACAACTTATACAAAATTAATATATATCATCTGTACCTATATTCATTACTCAATAAACCTCAATTAGTTATGACAGAAATACATTATTCTATTGCAAATACCTACTGGCCATAAAACAAAGTCATCTGTCCGCTGCAATCAAAATGGTTAAAGTATACATAGAGTAAGTAGTCCTTAACAAAGTAATAGAAAGAAATCTTGGTCCCCCCAAGTACGTTTATTTGTTCTCACACTTACTTAATAGTGGTGGTCATACTCTGTGCTTGCTGCTGAGTGCCATTATTGATTGTGTTGGTGTTTTTCAGTTGGTTCATCTGTTGCTGTGTTGGTGTGCCCCCTCCTCCGGGGCCACCACTGGGCTTCACAGGGCCCCTCAGCTGACCATTTTGACTGGACAGACCCATTATAACAGGGTTCTCTGTTCTGGCCGTGCTCATGCTGTATTAAATGTACAGATGTCTCTTCCAAACTTCAAAACTTTTGAAAGTCAGTAGAGAAACTGTAATACAGTTTATTAGGCTCTCCAAAATGAAGAGATAAATATAAGTCTTGCTCAATATTGAGTCCTTTATTGCAATGCAGGCAAGCACCTGTAAGTCTCTGAATAGTAAGCAGCAGTAACTTGCTCTCATGCACCGAATCAACTTTTTATTTTTTTAAAGGCTCTCTAACGAGGTTTGGTTATATATCTGAATTCACTCACTTCAATCTGAAACAAAGAAAAAGTTAAGTTAGCAAACACAGGAAGGTTATAAAAAACTGTTTCCCCTAACACTTTTTTAAAAATTAAGAATACAACTGCACTTAGATCACATCATTAGCCAGGCTAATAGAGACACAAAAAGATGACCTGCACACAAAACCAAACCCACAATGAAATCAATCTCAAACATTTTAAATGGTCAGTTCAAAGCAACCCAAAGAATATTAGTATAAAGATACTGTAATTAAATTAGCAATAGTTCGCAAATGACAATCTCTTCCCTTCAGTTTCCTCCCTGAATGTTCTAAAAGTCAATGATTCATTCCACTTAATTGCATCACAACTCCAATAAGTATCTCACAACTTAACTAGAGTAAATCTACATATGTACAAGGCAAGACAAATTTCTTCTATTTCTGACAGCAACTGAGAATCCTCCAAGAGCTTTATAAGCTTTTAACTTAACTTTATGCTTTTAGAAATATAAAACCCATTTGTAACCTTATGAATTTCAAGTGTAGAAATTAAACTTTGTGAAGAAAAATGCATTTTCCTTAAGTTCTTATCCTTTAAAACAGTAGCTGAAGCAGGAATACAGACATGTCTACATGTCAAAATCTTTTGCTTGAAAACAGCCAAGAATTTGAATACTAAAAAACTGTTAGCCGGGCCGGTGTGGAGCGCGGCATCAGAACCAGAAGGTCATGATTCAATTCCTGGCCCAGGCACATGCTAGCGTTGCGGGCTGATCCCCAGTAGAGGGCTTGCAGGAGCAGCCTTTTGATTTTCATTATTGATGTTTCTCTCCCTCTCCCTTCCTTTCTGAAATCTATAAAAAATATATAAAGTGGTTAACTTCCTCCATTTTTAATTATTCCCAAAACCGAATGCATATTTTAAAATGAAGTGAATAAAAACGTTACAAAGGCCAGACAGAAAGTAAATGCCTACTCTGTTGGGTTTGTTCCTTTTTACCTCCTTTACATTCCTTATCCAAAACACACAAGCTTATTAATTAGTGCTGTTTTTGTCATATACCACGGCTTCTCAAACAACATTTTTCTAAAATACTTATGCCTTAAAAAAAGAAAGAAAAGTTGCTCACAAGCAAATCCTGATGATCACAAACACAAAGAGGTATTATTTCAAAGTCTCCCAGAATCTGATTCACTTCTTAGGCAGATGGTGGTTAACAGTTACCTAGTTTCTGTTCCAGTGAGTGGTATCCTACATTGACAGGTTTCTATTATGATCAACAATATCAGTAGTTCGCACTGAAAACGTGTCTGCGAAGTACTAAGAGGATGAAGAGGGCAACCTCCCAAGATTAAGTGTGATCATTACCACCCATCATGGATGTGAGAGATTTCAGATCCAAGTGTGAGAACTGCGTCCCCTTAAAACTGAAACTTGCACTGAGCACCGTCTCAGAAACGGAAATGTTCCTCCTACCCCTTCCCAGCTTCGATTTGCAACATTTTCAAAAGTTCGAAGGAAACGTGGACTGGCCGGGAGGAACCCACGCCGAGCTAATTACAGCACTTCCCGGCTGTGGCTGGCAATTGACAGTTTTCTCCCCAAACACGCCCGTCGTCCCCGACGCGGCCTGCGAGCCGCACCGCCGGGTTTCATCGTGAAGAGGGGAAAGGGGTGCAGGGGGAACGCCTCACCGCAAGCAGTAAGGAAAGACACGAGCCAAGGATGTGAGCCCCGTCTTTGTAAGAGAATAATTCAATTATTTCTTGCTCTCCCCGTCCCCCCCGAAACACCCACAGCCCAAGTCAGCGCCCTGTGATCATAAACACAAAAGGTTGGGGCCCCGCAATCCTATCTGCGCAACAAGCGCAGGGACCGAACCAGCTCCGTGGGTAGGAAACAATATGGAGTTTCCTGAGGCCCCAAAGAGAAACCTTAACCAAAAGCCCTGCTTCCTCCACGACTCGGGGGCGCCAGCACCCCCCTCTCGCTACGACCCACAAGGCCCGAGTCCAGTCCAACAGCTGCCGGTCCCCTCCCGGCCGAGCCCTCGGCACTGCACCCCCGCCGCCCCCGGAGGCTGCCTCGTACCCGGTCACCTCCACCGCGCCCGGGGTCCTGCCGCCCCACGGCCCTCGTTCCCCCGCTGCTGGAAAGCGCCTCCGAATCCGTGGCCCGCTCCTTCCACGGACCCCGCCGCAAGACATCCGTACCCGACTCCTCTCAGCCGCCCGACCCACAGCTGCCGCCCGCCTTCCTCCCCTGGGCCCGTCCAGGCCTCAGGCCGCCGCCTCTGGGCGCCCCACGCCGGCGACGGCCTCCCCGCAGCCCCGACTGCGCCGCCGACCTTGCCCCCGCCCTTCACCCAACTCCCCGGCTCGGCCCGAGTCCTACCGCCGAGGCCGCTCCGCTCGCACCCTCGGCCCTTTATTGTTGACTCGAAGCTCCCAAAATGGCGGCG